CAGCCCCTACTTGGCGGGGTGCCGCCCACATCATTTTTCTTGAGAAACACCTCCCCATTGATCCATCGGGTTCTCCGTAAATCTAACGCCATCGTGCAAAAAACTCACAAGCCACAGGGGTCACCCGAGAGCATGGGCCAAGCCCAGTGCTCAAACATGCTGTCACATCCATTGCTTAAGCAGCCTTTTGGTATCCCTTTACAGGGGACCAAAGGCTGGTTGTTGCAACACATGTTGCTCCGGTTGCGCAGGTACCTTCATTTCGGGCAAACTTACGAGTTCCGTTGGACATGATGTTCAAAGAGGGGCATACAAGCATAGCATCCAAACCCCTTAGTTGGGTCTCATTTTGGGGGCACCATGGGCGCTGGGGGGTCAAGCGATTCAAACTGACGTCCGCGCCTGACTTCAAGGAGTCAACGTCCATCACGTCCGACATGGCCCCTGGATTGCGCCCTGCAGCGGCGGAAAATCCCTGGGACCTGTCGCCAACACGCCACGCGGCGCAAAGCAACTTGCTGTTTCTGTTTGGGAGATGGGCGGGGGCATTGTAACGCAGCGTCAGGCGAGTGGCCCATGAACAAGCCCGTGAAGCTTCTGGTGCAGGCGCAGCTTAGGCAGATTTGTGTTTTTTTCGGTCTTTTGGGGAAGGTTTCATCTTTGGGAGTGTTCTTCAAAGGGGGTTCACCCAAGGGTGAGCGTGTGTGTTATTCTTATCAAACCCATCTCTGTGTGTGTGCTTTTGTGGAAGGGGAACACCCGAAGCGGGAAAAAAACTGTTCTGCTGCCCTGCTTCAAATGTCTCAGCAAGGTGAGGTCACAGCGCGGAGCGGGCACACACTCAATGTAAGTCAAGCACTGCCAATCGCTTCAGTCTCGTTCTGAATTGCCCCCTACCCGTTTTTGTCCACTGGGTTGTTTCCTTGAAGTCGCTTCAGCATGTGTGACTCTTCAGGAAATACCCAGTGCATCTTCCTCTGACCATACCTGTGGCCGCATTTCGCTGGAGGTTTCCGGGATATACCTCCCCCCAAATCCATGTCTCCAACTCGCAAAGCCTGGCGCCCTACCTGAAGTTGCCTACCTGAAACCCTCAAGCCTTCCCGTCCCTCTGAAACTTCGGCCCGACGTCATCCGAAACAGCACACCAATCTCTTGACCCACCTGAACATTACCCCAAAGAAACGAAAAGAGTTTGGAGGACAAGGTGATGGTTTACAAGGTCAAGGAGCCCCGACCAAGACCGCACCTATCAACTCTCATGCTGAAATGAGAGATGCTCAGTGATCGGATCGATCGGCCAAGTGGCACGCAAGGCACGCCATGAACCATGCCTCGGTCCCTGCCGATATGTATTTAGACAAAGCAAGCCAGGCCTCTTGAAGCCCGCGCAGAAGATATCCAAACCCAACCACCTTCCGTAGGGCACTGTTTTGAATGGGTTTGGGCTTGCAACATGGACTCTAAATGTCCGTGGCCGTCGGACCTTCATCAGTGTAGGATCGCTTTGTCTTTAAGGATTCGTGCTCTCAAGTTCGACTCTAAGTGTCCATGGCCCACCCTCGCAGCCTGCGAAAAGGATCCCTTGTCAGCTCCGCGGCTCCGTCTCAATGGATTCTTTCGCGACTTCTTGCCATAGGCAGAGCGAGCAGGCCGTGCACGTCACACTTCTTTAGCCGACCAAAAAGCGTGTGAGGACAGCAATGGTCGCTCTTTGATAACGGGTTGACCATCCGTTCTGCCAAGAGATACCTTGACAAAGGGATAAGCTGTGTGTGTTTTCCCCGTTCAGCTTGATTTCTGGTTCTTGTGGCATGTTCAAGGCGACCACCCCTCAGCTTTTGGGCTCTCGGGTCGCACAGGCCAAACCCGCTTGGCGCAGCAAGAGATTTCGCACCTCTCTGCGGGAAAGCGATTGCGAAGCGGATAAGTCCAGACCAGCGAACAAGGCAAATGCAGGAAAGTACGCACATATTCACAACTTGCCCAAAAGGCACAAATATCCAATGTTGCCCAGACATCTGGTGTACTTTGGAGGCGATCATAATGTGTCATATAAAAACTAGACATTCAAACAAGAGGCAGCAAGGCAAACAGGCAGCGCATCTCTTTGCTTTTCAACGTTGACTGGCTGGGATCGTCCACCAGTGCTTCCAAGGTCCATCTGAAACAAGCTTCGCCGAAGCCGCGAAAGTTTAGAAAGCTTTCAACACGGGAGTGCCTGAAGCTCTGACAATGCCACGAACTCGCATCTCGCAAACAAAGCACTCACAACGTACAAACACCACTGCACTAAGGTACATTTGAGCTTTGAGGCTCGAATCAGTGTCTTTGTCAGCTTGGTTTAAAGGGAAACCCAAATGCAGCCAACACTTTGGGGGTTCCCCTATTTTGACACATATCCCAAGCAACCTTGAGGTAAATCGCTCGCTTCCCGGATCGGTTCATCGCTTCTCCCTGCGCCTGTTGGTCCCATGGATCACAAGCCATGGTTCGAACTCGTCTCTAAGTCCGCTATGGTCAATGGTGCAGCAATCCGTCCAAGGGGAAACAAAACACCTGCGCGACCTGCTTCTGAAAAGGAAGCGATATGTCTTCATGTGTATTGTTCTTGGATTTGCAAACGTTGCCACACCAGCTGTCAGTCCACAAAAAAACGCTTCACTCACAGCAAGAGTAAGCATCCTTCAGCTCCGGCATCGAGTCTTCCAATGGCCATCCATGCTTCTGCCTCAGCCGGGCAAACGAGCGTGAAGAAGCAGCGACTGCGCGCAGGATTGGGCTGCCTTGTTTAAACATGAATACCCAAAACACGAGCTGACTTTGGGGTCCTACCAACATTCAAGTGTTAAGGTTTGTAAAGCTCTCGCTATACCCCCTATAAACCAGGCAGAACCACCTACCAGTGACCAATACAGGATTTCGGCCTGCTCAATTGTTGTCTAACAACCTCCTTTGCTTGGTTGGCGTGTTCTTCTCCGTTTTTTAGGTGCTGGTCGTTCTCAGTGTCGTGCTGCAAAGAACAACTAGTTTGCTAACATGCCGAGGGTTCGAAAGATACCTCTCTGTTGCGAAGGTCCATTTGGAAGAAGTATCGGGTGCGTATGCATTGCCGCGCAAATCCTCTCGCCAGGGTCGGGCAAACTGTGATTGAACCAAACTCTGGGTCCTGAAGAAATTATTTCGGAGACAATCAGTACTCCCGTTTCTGAGCTTGGCTGGCTGGTGCTTGCAATGAAAGCGGCGTGTACTTGCTTCACTGAAATGGAGTGGAAGGAGCAGACTGAGCTATGTACAGTCAGCCCTGATTCCTTCTGGAATCCACAACTAAGCGGCGCAACAGGCGAGTGGGTTGCCAAGCCTGCAACATGTCAACTTGAACTCAGTCTTGAGGGTATGTGTACAAAAGAAGGTATTTCCCCTACCGGCCAATCAACCACTCGTTGACCCGCTCACCAAGCCCCCAACCAACAAAGTCCCCCGCACCCCATGACCAACATCCCACAGAGAGTCCCTTAGCGTAGGCGGAAGGAAGTGCTCAATGCTGGACAGCCGGGATGCGATTTCCGAGATGGAGAAGCCGTTTCAAACATCTGAGGTTCTCTTGTTGGGGGCCCCGTTTCGGCTGCGCTGTCGGGCCGGCTTTGCTTTGCCCCCCTCCCCCCGCCCAAAAGAAAAGAAGAAGAGAGAGCGAAAAAAAAAAGCTAGGACTTCCGACCTGCGCGTCGTCCTCTCGCGCACAATGGTCAATGTTCAACTCAGGGGCCTCTCTGCATAAATTGGGGATGGCAAGTACACCTCAGGAATCCTGAAAAGGCCCGAGCTCATACCGACTCCAGTTGGTGAGCCTGTGAACTAATTTGCCGAGAATGCAGCCTCCTTAGCAAGGCTCAGCGTAAGGTAAACCTATTGAACAATAGCCAGCAATGTCTCCCATGCAGGGAGCCCACAAAATCACGGGCGCTTTCCTCTTGCCTTGCGGAAAAACAGTCCGACATTCCAGACACAGGGTCGAAATATTGCTCCCGGAAACAAAAAAGAGCAAGCTTCACCCGTTTTGCTTTCCGAGGCAGAACCGCTTGAAGGGAAACCAAAAGGACACCGGGCCTTGTGAGACAAATCCATGTTGAGACAAACCCACTTCAAAATCTGCCTCGGTGTCCATTGGGCTTCCCTCAAACAAGCCCCAAAAAACCAGAGGTTAGTGTGGGTCAAAAAGGTACCCGAAATGGAACCCTGGTTAATTGGAAACATGGACTACAACCTGCGGTCCATATCCTAGTGGTTTAATTTTTGACCCATACCCAGGGATCCTTGCATTTTGGCGTGGAACAAAAACAACATGTTTCAAATGGTTGCAAAATGGGGATCTTTTACGGAGCCCTGCATACCCCAGCTGCCATTCTCCCACACACGGCCCCCCCGCCACGCGCCACCAGCGCGTTTCGCAAGTCCCAGCTGCAGGGAGCCGTACTCCGTGAGCTTCTGGCAGCTGGCGCCGCTGGAGCCGCAGCGCACGAAGTTCGCCGCGTTGCCTCGGGAAAGGAAACTCGAGCTGAGCTGAGACTTCCTCACAGTTCTTCAGTGACCCTGGAAAAAAAGGGAAACCCTTTTGGGGGAAGACCATTTTTTAGTGGTGCAGCCACCAAAAACAAGGGACAAAGGGTGCCACTGAACAACTGAGTCCCAAGACTTGCTGGTGCGATAGGCAGGGAATGACAAAATGACCCCTAAAAACCATCCAACTGGTGGTTTCCCTTTAACTGGTGGTTTTCCTTTAGGGATTCCTGGGTTCCTCTCCTCATTCCCTGCTGAGCACCAGCAAGATTTCAGAAAAGGCGTTGACTGGGAAGCTGTACCTGTCAAGGGGCACGTCACCAAAATGGCGTCAGTAGTTAGGAAAGCCAAGCTCGGTATTCTCCAACCCCCAAACCAAATCGCAGCCGTCCCCAAGTTCGGGGTCCAAGACCAAAACCGAATATGCTTCTGCTTTCTGCTTAAAGGGGACCACCAAAGGTTGTTGTTCTAAACACATGCCCAACCCTGCTTTACAGCAACACCGACAAGGCAGGTTGAGTTGTTTGAGCCCCTGCAAACAGCAGAACTGTTGGCTAGTGGGGGAGGAGTCCTTTCCCAACATGTCAAACGTAATGTGCAGCCAAACAGGAGCAACCAAAGAGGGGTCCAACTAATTTTGAGCCTGAAAGAAATTAACCCAGCGATACTGCATAGCGATAGGTCCAACCCTTATTTTCAGCTTCGAAACTCCTGCCGCTCTTGGAAATAACCACCCGGAGACCACAAAAAAAAATCCCAGGGTTCCCCAGATGAGTGTGCGTGTGTGTGTGTGTGTGTATATATATATATATGCTCTGCCTATTTGTGCTTGTGTTATGTGTGTTTGAGTTTGTGCTTGAGCCTATGTTTGTGTTTGTATATGATTGCTTTTATGTTTGTGATTGCCTTCGCAGCAAGCAGCAAGAGGGGCAATGTATCGACATTGAGGCCCCTCCAAAAGGTTGGTCTTTTCAGTTTCTCCCCAGGAAAAACGCCGCCAATTTGGGCACATTCCCTGATTGAATTTGAAGGATGCTGTCCAACAATTACGGCTCAACTGTTGGTTCTGGCCCCCATGTTGTCCAATGAACAAAGCAAATGCCTCATACCAAAACCATAGCCCTTACCCGCGTCCTAAGACCAAAGGCAATACATATTTATGTATATATATATATATACATATATGTATTGCCTTTGGTCTTATATATATATACATATATGTATTGCCTCTGGTCTATGTATACATAGACATATATATATATAGAGAGAGAGAGAGAGAGATATTACCACGTGCCAACTTCACATGGGAGTGCTACATGTCGCCAGGGTGTTCCGTTGCCACTTTGTTGACCGAACAAGAAAACTACCCTGAGCGGTATTGCTGCACCACCCCAGGGGTGCCCTTCAGTGAAACATGTTTGCCATGGTCAAACCTCCTTATGTAGTCGGGTCCTGAAAATCTAGCTTGTAAGTTCCCGTTGAAAAGCTCCTGGCCATCCCTAACCCCAACCAGAAGCACACATCACTCATGCCCCGCCCCTTCCGAGTTCGGGAGACCGTACGCAGAGTTGGCTCCCGGTTTTGTGATGAACTATGGCTGTGGGTGAAAACCAATGGCACCATTTTGGGGTAGGCGCACCACACATTTTAGTTTATTTTAGTGGGGATTGGGATGTTCACTGGGGGGCTGGTAACCGGGCTTTTGACCCATGGCCATATATTTTGGGGGCTGGCTTTGACTGGTAGGGTCTGCGGCTCAGCCGCCATCCTTGATGGGGCACCATGCGTCGCCGTCGGCCCTCGGAAGGGAGGTCTGACTCTGAGCGAGAATGCCATCAAGGTTGTGTGTGATTTTCATTTAGAAATGTTCCGTGGTTTCACAGAAGTGGGAACCGCACTCGCCCATTTGGTTCCAATGCAATCGCAACCTAGTAGAAGCAATCCCCTCGTTTGTCAATAGGGGGTCTTTCATGTAAGACGACCTTTCCGACCATTAGTTTGGAAGTCCCAAAGATGCCAGCTGGAAGTCATATGGCTAGCACCTGGGCAATCGGAGTCCTTGGTTTGACACCTTCCCAATGCTGCGCTTGCATGCACCAGCTGGGATAGAACCCTATGTCAAATAGCTGTTCTTCTCCAAATCGAATCGTCCGTTGTGCGCAGTCAGAGTAAGCTTGCCAGTTTACAGCAAGGAGGGCGGGTCCCCATGAGCTTCCCACATTGTCGCATCTCGACAAACACCCGAAGCATGGCTATTGTTTGAACAAGCGGACCTGGTGTGAAATTGAACGACTCAGTTTGATTCGTCGTGCTGAACTTCGAGCGCAGTGTTGACAAGCGACATACCCAGAAATTCTTGGCACTTGACCCTAGGCCTGCGAGACACTCCACAAAGAAAGCAGAGGCTAGGCAGCCATTAAATGGTCGAGCTGTCAACGCGGTGGGCAAATTTCAGGCGCCAACCGGCCTGTCCATGCAACGCATTGGATTTGATGACAATAAATGATAGCTCGGCCAAACTGCAAGGACAAACAGCAGAAAGAATCGCTCGAAACTCCCTACAAGCAGCCGCAGCTTCCAGAACTTGGGACATGCTAAGGACGGAAAGCCGAAGTCATCATTCCAGAGGAAAAGGAAAAGAACAATGGCATGCATGGTATGAATGTTCATGCCATGCTACCTTCACCTGCCTTGAGAATAGATGCTTTACTCTCTTTGGTGCAGATCGCGCGACTCCCGCCTGCGTGCATCCCCTTGCTTAAGGTGTAAGAATCTCAAAGGTTGAAAACAAACACATGTGTCACAAATCTATTAGGGGATATCGTGGTGCAGTCCCCCAATCATCGAACAGTGAATCAAACCAGACTTACCACTTCTGGATAAATGATGAATGAAACGACTGAACATAGAGCTCCAAGATTCCTGGAATGGATGTGCCCCTGGCCAAAATTTGTTTCAACCAGGCCCTGTTCCCCAAGGGAAGATGGTTGACCAATAATAGCTGGACCGACACTTAGGCCCCCTCGCTTGAACTAAAAAACAAAGGACAAGCAAAAGGCAACAGGTGGTTGTGTGTGCGCTTGGGCCCTTTTGGTGGGCTTCAAAGAGCAAACCCAAAGGGTGGTCTCCATGGATGATGTGGAGGTCCCGCATGTTCCGTCGTGCTGCATAAATCGGCGATTCTCTGCGACAAGAACCAACATATATGTATACACATACATATCCGTGTGTGTGTGTGTGCATCGTACATATCATGAATTCTATGCATGATAGTCATGTGTCTCGCATTTTGAAATCCATCATGAGACAAAGCACAAGCCCATGGGAAAAGGGGCACTATTTTCGTTGTACATTGTCGGCTGCCTTTCAAGTCGACACCCCTCCAAAAATAATACAAAGACAACACACCATTGGGGGGCCAGGACCTGGATGTTGTGGCGCCTTTCTGACCCGTAAGATTCCAGCCCCATAAGGCCCTAGCCCTTCTCACCTACACCCCTATTTTCCTTAAAAGGCCCTACGGCTGTATTTCTATTATTGAGGTCCTGCCAGTGGCTTGGAATCGTATGACGTTGACGTTCCCCCCCCCCCCGGCTGTCTCCAGCTGTCCCCGAGGCCCCAGCTGTCGTCCTCCGAAGGCCTCTCGGCCCTTCCCGGCCGGGCAGAGCTCCTTGTAGGAGCACAGCCTCTTGCCCTCCGCCTCGGTTTTGCTGCCGGGTGGGGTTCCCATTTCGGCATGGGTCAAAAGCCCGGTGACCCCCCAGTGAACATCCCAATCCAACCACTAAAATAGAGGAAAATGGGTGGTGCACCTACCCCAAAATGGTACCATTGGCTTTGAACCATGGCCATTTGCCGGAGTTCAAATCCCCAAACCACCGACTAAGGGTTCGGTTGCGCAAAACGGAGCATTAAAAAGGCTCGTAGGGGGGCAACTTCCGAAATCCATGGGGTATCAAATTGATACTTAAAGGGAAACCAAAGGACACCGCTGATCAATTTTCTATCACCTCAGGGTCAAATGGCTTTCAGCGGTTTCTTTGCGCAAATTCAGCAACAACTGGCTGCCACTGCTGCCAGTTCGGATGGGGGGGAATTTGGAGCTAGGGGCAATTGAGGAAGGTCTATTTGCGCAGCCGGTCTGGTCACAAACACTGCTCGGCTCACGCCATGGTTGACAAGAGAAAGGGATATCTGTTGCTTAACAAGTCTGCCTGCGAACTTCAGGGAACATAGCCCTGAACTTGCAGGTGTTGCTACCATCTAGATTGATTGGTGAATATATGAAGCAGGCCTTCGCACAGGAACGATTTACATTATGTGCAGCAGCTAGAGTTCTGAAGCCAGTGTTCACCGCATCGACGCGCGTCGATACACCACATCATAAGCCTAAACTTGCCAGTGAAACTGACAAAGCGGTACAACCGCACATTGAAAAAAAGGCATGTGACGTATGTAATCTTTGGGCGCGCTGAGAGAATCAGAAACTGCGTGCTGCGCCCAATGGCACTTGGAATGTCATCGTCAGCAGAGTTTGACCCTAAGGACAAGCTGTACGTTGCGGCTTGCCAGCCCACTTGCTTACTACGGGCCAATTTGAGCGTGCCGATCATTCTTGTTTCAAGGTCTTCTGAAGAAAAAGCTGTTCCGGCGGATGCAAAAGTCCAGCGGCAAGACGTGTGGCAGCCTTGTCAAATTTGCGTTCGGTTTCATGTCCGCTGAAGAAGGTGGTTGGAAAAGCAAACTCCCAAATGCAGGGTTGACAGGTGAACAATTCAGCATGTGGGGCGCTGCGATTCAGATTTATGGTCTGCATGAAATCACTGATATAGTGCAAAACCTCCTCCCCCTGCCACAGCCCTCTTGCTAAACCCTCAAACACCACTTGCAAAGTGTATTGAGTCGTGAGGGGGGCCATTGGTTCAAGTTGGCGCTGTGTTCCGGGGATATGCTTGAAGCTGAGTGACGCTTAGTCGGTTTTAATAAGATCTAGGATGCTACGCACATCCTGCAATCTGGGTCAAAACCCAAGGTCCCCTCCCCCAATCCCTTAAAGGAAGAAAGGATAGCTCCAACGGAAGCTGACAAAAAGACGAGGGAAGACTACATTCCTCTTGGGGGATCTCCGTGTCTTCTCCCATGTTCTCACTATACTGACACGAAATCCCTTCCTCACAGTAATGAAACGCCCGTCTTCAAAGGAGAAAAATAACATATTCTGAACCCAACAATCACGGAAGCTGACAGGATGTAGGAAGATAAGACTCCTTTCCGGAACTGTCAACAGCCATGATTTATTGGAAAGACCGTGTTTTTCAGGTTCCGTCAGTTCGGACGCATCGCCTTTTCCTGTTGATGTCCCCTAACTACGAAGTAACACCGCCGCGAAATCGCGAAACCGAGGGCCCCGCGTCGCACTTCTCCTCAAAGTGCTCGAAGCTAAGGCCTGGCTTCAGTCCCAGGCCCCGCTTTGAGCGGATCGCCTGAATTGCTATGCGACACTGCTATTTTCAGATGCGGGAAACTCCCAGGCACCGGACCTTTGTTGTGCTTCACTCAGAGCTCGATTGGAAGTTGCATTTTGAGTGCTGAGCTCAGAATTTGTCCAGATTGGGATGCAACTGTGTCAATCAATCCCCCAAAAAGTGATCCATCCCCGAGTTTTTCTGCAATGGGACATCGCCAATCCAAATCAACCAGGCTTTAATACTCCAATACATTTTTTGCATGGAACCCAAACAGGGGGGTCCTCCGCATTGATAAAGACTCTACGATTCTGCAGGTCGACGCCTATTCACCTTCGGGAGACGACCCCTACCTAGGGAGTCCTGTCTAGAAGTTTCCTGGATTTGTGTGTTCTATGTTAATCTGCGGGAGCGTGATCCTCGGTTCCCATTAGGATCCGATGGCGGGTTTCCAGATTGACATGGAACTTTGGTACGTTTGCCATGTCCCTTCCAAAATACACCATATATTAACAGTAAATTTGACCACACTCATGCGAAGTCTGTTGGACACAGGCAGTAAAAGTTCCAAATCTCATCTTCAGAGAAAAGCCCTCAGCCAGATGGGGGTTGCTTTTTGATGTCTTTGCTTTCATCATCTCTTGTTTGGGGGCGGGGGGGTGTGCTTTGGCTGATTTTTTGAGAAGGGAACCAAAAAACTCCGGACGTGTCCAAAGCCGGCGCCCGCAGTCGGCAGGCCGCAGGCCTTGGTCGTTGTTCCGCCAGGAGGGCACCTTGCAGCGGATGAAGGCCTTGTTCCGAGCGTCCTCGGGGTTGAAGAGCCGCCCACGGCTGAAAATGGGTATGGGTCACAATTTCACCACCAGAAAACCGCAGGTGTTAGTCCTTGGTTCCATTTATCAAGGCAACCCATTTTGGGGTTACCCCCATTTCTGACCCAAAGCCAAGTGACAACAAGAACTTGGAGAATGACTTCAGCACTGAGACCCATTGGCTGTTGGGTCTATGGTCAAGGTTACAGGCCTCAGGAACCGAACCGAACCACTCGCGCTGGCGCTTTGGGGTTTCCCAAACCCGTCCTGGATGGTGGTATGGAAGCTCCGCTCCTGGGAGTACCTGCAAGGCTCATGGGGTGCCACCAATCTGGGTGAATTATAATATTTCACCAGCCTTGCGGTGGTTGGGGGGCTATTGCCCACATAAACCACCATTTGGATTTGGGGCGATGTCGGGGAGGTCGTTCTAATTCACCCAGACCAACAAGTGTCCTCATGGCAACAGCTTGCAACACACTGACTTGTTATCCGTCAAAGCAAAATGGTTGTCAAAGCATAGATCAACTCGGAGGGCGAAATGGTCTCTGTGTCCGAAGGCAAAATGGTTGGTGATTGTGTGGTCCGTTACTAGCAGAAATCAAATGGGAGCGGGAGTCCCCAATTTGACAGAAGAGACCATCAAGTCCATTCAATTCAAGCGCCCAAAACTGGGCCAGACGGATGCTCCGTGCCAAAAGTTAGCTCGTTGCGGGTTGAAAGGGAAAATGAATGGTCCGGCAATGTATCTTCCCCCACTCCAAAATGTACTTTCAACCTAAAAATATTGAACACCCAACGGCAATCCTGAGCTCAACGAGCAATCTGTTCCACTCTTGTGGCGCCAAGATGCACATAGCAGTGCCTGGCTGCACCGTCCTGATGCTTGCTTCCAGTCCGTGAGAGAGTCTCCGAATTGGTTCCGAAGGAATCAGATCTCTTCACGTGCCCCAGGTCGGTGTTCCCCGCAAAAAACATTCGGGGGCGTCCCGAACCAAGGAATCTCTCCAAATGGCTTATTGGCTTTCGCCATCCTCCAACCACGTCCAAACAAGGGAGATCATGGTAGTCTGAATTCCTCAGAGTCCACGAGCATACCAATCCCGAAGCAAAGGGATGTGATGGGCTTCCCCTTGAGACACCACATCACCAGGGGCTATGTCAGAACCCGCCAAAGACCCGGTGTCCCTTTCGTTTCCCCTTTGAACCGTGCACAAAAGCTTGCGCTTTCTCATTCCAAGAGAGATTCCAAGAGACCTGCGGCTCCAAGATGGCACCCAGAAGAGTGGGCCTCACTGTTATCAAGGGGATTCCCGTCGCCCGAAAACCCCCGAATCTGTGCAACCGTTTCCAAGGTCATGGTATGTCCCACAGAGGCCCTTCTCATGGCCATGACTCACTACCCTTGATCCTTCCAAAAGCGGGGAACCCGGGGCCCCATGTCTTTTTCTTTCCCCATGAACCGGGTCGACGAAAGTGACACCACAAGCACCCTCTAACTGGTGGCTAGACAAACCATCGGTTTCCCGAAAGTAAAAAAACACATCATTCTGAGAACCCCTCAAGGATGACCACTTGAAGCCAGGCGCTTCTTCAACCCTTGGGCCAACCCAGCCGTTTAAACATGTTGAACAAACAGATGTGCTGGATTTCAACGTGCCCCCTTTGGGCTTCCCTTTAAGAGGACTCGGCCCAGGGGAGGCTTTCGCCCATTTTGCCCCATGACACACCCGCGGCGCCCGAACGGCGGTCCTCGTACATGTGGAACCCGATGCAGGGGAAGCCAGCTCTATCGCCTCGGTTGACCAGTGGGAAACGTTTCCCGAGCAAAGGAATGGGAAACCTGCATTTCGGGGTGGTTGCGTACTTGAGTGAGTTCACACAGAAAAAAGGGATTCTGAGGAAGCCTTTGAACAACTCACACCCTGGAATGCGGGATTGGGGCGGCATCCAAATGGACTCCTGAACTCCTTTTCTAAGCTTGGCATCCAAAGGAAATCCGCACTTCAGGGGAACTTATTCTTCTAACCAGGTAACCTCTGTTCCCAAAGCCGGGACTCTTCCCGGCCAGCATCCTTTTGAATGTCGACACCGGACAAAGCAAGCTGGTGAAATATTGTGGGGGTGCTGCCCGATAGCGTGAAGGATTAAGTCTAAGTTAAATGCGACCGCCCTTGATCAGAAAGGAGTTTATGAGGTAGACTGCCAAATGTACTATTGCTTCATTCTGGACCATACCCTCCCAGCGGCTAACATGGAAATGCACAGACCCCCGCAGAAAGACTACTTTCTTCCTGGAAAGGGGCTTTGTGCACTTCCATGTTAGTTGGTGGGAGGGTATATACTGACTCTTTAAGACGTCAAATAGATGCAAAAGAGATCCCAAAATGTCGAGTGCCTTGCCTTTTTGTGCAGTTCCTTAGCTCAACGGCCGTCCACACTGTAGCGATGGGACTGCGGGGGGGGGGGGGGTACTCCTTCGGAATTTGAAGGGCCTAGCTTTCCGAGAGCTCGTTTTCCAGCCGGATTGGCGAGCGCGCCATGAAATGGGCATGTTACTCCGCGGACAAAACCCTGGGATTGTTGGTTGAGTCATTCATTCCCTTTACCCTAAAGTGAGTCTCTGGAGTCATTGATTTGGTGGGCCCCAGGGCCCCGGCATTGCTCCGCGCACTTCTGCAGGGAGGCGTCACCGCCGCTGGCGCGCAGGTAGCGGCTCCAGTAGCCTCACGGGTCCCAAACGCATCATGGACCATGAGACATGGGGAGAGGGCCCGCAGACACCCGGGCTTATTCTTGACTCCTGGACTTCTCCAGGGATAGGGGGTCCAAGGATTCCAACCCTCCCCCCTGTTTCCAAAATACGGCCGTAAGAAGACCTTGGCAGGAAACCACGAGAAAAAGTGGCGAACGGATCCTATGTTTTTGATGGAATCGAATTGAAAAGGGGATTTGGGGCAAAAACAGTTCGACGGCTCGAAAGCCACACAAAGACAGCTTCTGGATGCTGTTTGATAGACGCCAACAGAGAAATACATGGCGGATGGCGCGAAAGGGCGGGATCAGAAAACATGATCTTTGCATATGTTTGCATGGTGCATATGGGAATCAAAGGGGAAGGCTCTTTTGGCGATGGTGATGCTTTCAGTAGTACACGATTGGATGGTGTTTAACGGACACCTTCCTAAGACGCACATATTGGACAAGGCAGACATGCAGAAAAGGCTTGAACACATGTGCCTTTGCGTTCAAAACTGCGTGGCATGTCAAGTTGTTGTTGTGATTTCAATCGCGATGTTTGAAGGCAGATTTCTATGGGTCCGCGTGTTTAATCCAGAATATTGTATTCCTTGCTGCGCGAACAACAAATAGAGGGCCACATGCTCATCGATCAGCAGTCCCGAAGCATTTCAAAACCCGACATGGCTTTGAAGGAGTCCACCGGGCGAACCTTCCATTTTGGGAGTCGGTTCCAAGTCTGGTCTTGGAATCCAGGCCTGGACCAGTTGCTCAAAAGTCATGTTCAAACACCAGAAACCGGGATGGATTTTCCCCCAGCCACTTGCATATACCTAAAAATCCACACTCATCCACCCCCTACCGGGCCCTACCGCCCACCGAGCCAAGCGGCCCATGTGCGAATACTTGTAGCCCGGCACCCCATAGTCGTTGTGGCACGAGTCCTCGAAGGAGGCCACCTGCGCGTTCGGCGTTCGGAGCTCCGAGAGAGGCTCCCCGCCATGTGCTTGGTTTGGCTAGATGTTTCAGAGGGTCGCCTCCAATTGACTCTATATACTTAGCAAAACAAAAATGACCAGGGATGCTCAACAAAACAAACATGACCAGGGGTAGGTATTCAAGGATGGCTTTCGCTACAGAGGTATAATGGGATGGATACACAACCACCAAAGATTTGTTCAACCTGGAGTTGCCCTGCTTTACCCCTTTCTATCATACCAAAGTAGGCCATCCCCCATGACTACTTATCACTTCAAAGACGATTCCCTTGGTATCACAGCAAGTGGCGCTTGAATTATGCAGCGAAGGGGGCGAGTCGGGCCTCAGCTTCCCCCGGCCCTTCGAAACCGCAGCAGAAATGATCCATGGACAACGATGCCTAAAACCCTCCTAGAAGCCAGGAAACCATCATTGCTCTGATTCCAAAACGGCGAACATTCCCACAACTACTTTATCCTGCGGGGGGTCCAAATGTCTGTCCGACATCTCTGTGCTACTTGCTTCGCGCTGACGCACACCAGCGGGCCCCATAGCCCCTGCCTACACATTCATAGACTTAGGCAAACTATATCAAACATCATTTTCAGCTGATGTAGAGGATCCCCCGGTAAAGCAGTGGTATTGTAATCTGATGTATGCTTTGAGGAACCCTGCAAGAAGAACTTCAAAGATGATCTCAATCAGGAAATTAGCCATATTGAACAAATTACGAGACTTTTCCAATCCTCAGGGTTTCAAGCACAGCAGATCCTAGCCCAAGTCGCTAAATGCCCAGAAGCGCGCCACTTGTTCTTGAATCCGACTTGGATGGATAGATCGTGTCTCTACGGGAATCTCACGGCGCTTGTTGTTCACATCCCAGCCATCCAAGCTGCAACTTGAGCTGCAACAGAAGCACTCCGCTGTCCACTTTCTAGAATCTTCAAAGGGCTATCAAACACCCCGGCTGTGGAAATCCAAAGGGTCAATTGGACTGGATGGTCCTGCTTCTTGAGGCTGTGCCCTTGACCTGCCTTGATGTAGCAGGTGGCGTCCTTGTATCTTCTGCCTGTGTAGGCCCTCACCGGCATCACATTGCCTCGAACGAGCTTTGCCAGGCAAAACTCCAATCCGCTTTTAGGGGGAAACCAAAGGATACATTGGAGATCAGCAAACTGCTTCGGGCTTGGAAACCAGAGTCCCCTTGTCGGGTGTGACATGATTTGTTGTGGACACCTTTTGCGCTGCAAAAACCAGCGACTGCCGATTTGAAGCCTTGAACCCGTTTTGTGATTCCCCAAGCGAAAAAACAACCCCGCAAAAATAAAAGACCCGCAAATCCGCACACAAGCGTGAATGAATCGGCCGCTGGCGGCAATCCCCAAAGTGGAAACAAGGCAGCCCCCAACGGCCCTTCATGGGTGAGCTCGGATGGCTGGCCGCAAGCCCATAGGTGCAAACTCCAGCTGCGGGCAGAAGCTAAGATGCTCGAGTATGGTCCGGAGCTCCAAAGGTGTCAGAGTAAGGACCCAATTCTCGGGGTAACCGAGCTCCTTCCATCCCTCGCAGCTTCCCATCACTCGAGGGCTTTAGCTTTAGCTGTGCCGCTAGTTGACCTGCTTATAACTCAAGCCAATCAGTGTGCGTGGTTCTGGAGAATCACCATTTCTGTGATACCCAAGTGAGTCACAATCAAAACCCGGTATTAAACTGGTCTACCCAGAACCATGTAAAGAAATTGGAAGGCAGCCGCAGCTATTTCTGGGTTGGATCGTCGCTTGCTAACCTTCATCTACCCGAGTTTTGATTGTGACTCAAGTGCTTGCTTCCCATCCCCATGACTACTTGATCACTTGGAAGAAGGTTCCCTTGGTATCACAGAAAGTGCTCAACAATGGTGGTATCCTGTGGCTTCTGTTGAAAGCAAGGCGAACAACTGCGCCCTCAAAAATAATAAAAATAAAAATAAATAATAAAACATTCCCGCAACCATGCTATTGAGTTACTCTTGCTTCAACACCATCTTTTTCGTCTTCAAACGACTTCCCAGCCCTGGCTGTGCGACCATGAGCCACCCTCCTGCCCAAAGGCCCCCAAGCGGCCCCACTCGTACCGGTATGCATGATCTTCCTTTTAGCCACCAGCTCAGAAACGTACAGTGCGTGGAAGAAGGGTTGGTTCCCACTCCGGCGAGCTAGTCTAAATTGCCCGGAGGTGAGAAAAGGAAGCGGGTTTGACTTGAAGATGTGCACCAGCTTGGGGAGGGAACTTCAGTGTCCGCTCTTTTCACCCATCCTGCGGAACAGAACAACAAACACTGACCAGGTTTCCACGTGTCCAGTGGCTAAATGACCTCTGCCATTTCTTCAGCCGCTTTTTGCAAAAGCTGGGCTTTATGCAGGGTCCTGAGAGACAAAACGACCAGGTTTCTCGTGGACGAGTGCCTGGTCGGCAGTTGTTCACTTTGTCACCTGTCATTCTGAGGAGCCAAGCTTCCCTGCAAGGTTGTCCTCATCCTTTCGCTCATCCTCTGCACCAGACGTCCGCATGTTGCTGGTGACCGTCTGACGAGAAGGATCCGTGAAATACATGAGTTGACAAGATCGGAGAACAGAGGACAAAGCGGCTCGTGGAGAATACTGATTCGGCCGAACAAGAAGTGAAGTAGAACAAGAAGAGGGGGAAGGAGGAGGAGGAGGAGGAGGAGAAGGGAAAAGGTAAAGAAAACAAGAAATCAGAAGGAGGAGGAAGAGGAAAGGAACAACATGGAGGAGGAAGAAGAAGAAGGACCTTTGGAAAGTCAAGCTGCCCATCTTGTGGCCGGTGAAGATCCAGCATTTGAAGTTCTCGTGGTTGGTGTTAGGGTACCACTCATAGCCGAAGCCTCAGAGCTCGCGGATACCGCGCTGAAAAACGTCTCACAGACTTCCATATGTGCCACCATCAAAATTGCTTGTCCCCCTAAAAGCAGACGAGGGTCAAGTCGTAAGTCGTAGGCGCGTTCTTTTGCCGCGCAAAATGTGAGGGGGGGCTCACAAGAGGCTTTTGATATCAGTGTCGCGAGTTCCCCCTTTGGCGTCCCTCCCATGGGTTGAGCGCTACACTCATGGCTGCATGCAAGTGGGTGGGGCTCCCCCGTTCTGTTGCTGCGAAATTTGGGGCTCACCCCCTGTTTTTGTGGTATGTTGCCCCGCCAAAACCGGGCTTGGTCCGCTTCGTGCACTCATGGCTGTGGCTGAAAACGAGAAAGTACCTCAATGAGTGGGCCACCCAGACTCCCCTCGGAGGCAACCAGGCCCCCAAAACTTCTTCAGTCGGGGCCCATAGGGGGGTCCGAATGTCTCTCCTGATAATTACACATTTGGTTGGCGCTTTCGCCCTGGCTGAACGTCGAGCTGACCAAAATAAGAAACCACCAGTAGTGTTCAAGTATAAAAGCCAACGACTCACCTGATCATTTGCATGCCCCCCCACCCCCCCATACTCCTCATGTATGGTGCCTAAAATGGGCGACCCTCCAGGAAGCCAACCATTCGAGCAATTCCTTTCCCAATCTACACCCTGCGAGCGCACCTGTTGCTGGTTGAAAAAAAAGTGGAGAAGAAAAACACCACAATTCTAGTGGTTGATTCCCCATTCTTTTCCACCATCGTTCTTTCCAAAAGCCCGCCGTTTTCCCTGGGTTTCCGCAGGTTTTCTAGAAAGAAGGATCCCTGGAAAGAATGGGGAAGGCACACCTGGAACAACAGGGCACCAGCGCTTCGCCGCTACTAGCGGCCCTTGGAAGGTGCTGCCCGCAGCACCGCCATCCGCCCGTAGCACCCGAGTCGAGTCCAAGGCGCAGTAGGCGTCCATGGAGCACGCGGCCTGGCAGCCGCCAGCGCTCTTCACCGACACTTCGCTGCCCTCGGCGCGGCGGTTGTCCTGCGAAACGGGCGGTTCGGTCGGAACCGTGCAGGGCACGTCCTTTGCGGAAGGTACCCAAAACCATTTTGGGGTGGTTTGTCAGGAAACCAGGGATTCCCCCAAAGTTTCACACCGACACACATCCATATGTGCCACAGTCAAAGCAACTTCTGTGCCATGGTCATGGTCCCCTAGGAGCCACATTATTTCAGAGGGGGACCCTTTAGATTGGTGGTTTTTTTATGCTTTCTTTTTGGTTTCCCTTTAAACCAGACCCAAATAGTTTGGAGGGACCAGGTTCAGCTTCCATCCAACGGGAGACCCGAGCCCTCAAAATTATAGGCATAGTCGAGGGGATGTCCGTTGATTCAAACGTGTCCAACCCCCAGACATGCACCAGCAATGTTGCTCCGGAGCTCAAAAGAAAGTCCAAAACGCAAGGCTTGCAAGATTGGCTATGTGGTGAGCATCGTGTACATGGATATACAGGGCCCCCAAAATTGTAGAACCCTCAATTGCCAGGCATGCGCGTGGGCAGGTGCAAAAGTTGGGGCTTTCCTTGCCTGAAAAGGACATCTGCTATGACAACATGGCCACAGACAGCCGTGGAAACTCTCTTTCTTGGATGCGCCCATTCACATCGAACAAATCATGTGTTGCTCATGTGATGTGGCCATTGATCATGGTCGGCCGCTCCTTCGGTGACTCAGCTGCAGATGTGGGCGCTCGTGACTGGATCAAGTGCACTCTTTCCACAAAATCAGCATGGAACCCGAGACACAATGCTGATTTAGAGGAATCCCCTTCGGACTGTTTCTTCGGTTTGACCTGTAGCTATGACAGTGGGGAAAGTGCAGCAGAAACATGGCGGGCCAGCCTTCATCAGGGGGCCCCTTCGATTGCAAACCAAAGCAGTTGTGTGGTTGCGAGGGGGTCTCGTTTCCCTGCCTTGCCGAGGCAGTAGTTGTTCCCGGCCAGGTAGTACCCATAGAACCGGTAGGAGTATATGTGATTGAAGACCTCAAGTCAGAGGAAGGTGGTGCTGCAAGAGACACGGGATGCCCTCTTTCAAACAAGCTTTTGTCTTCCCGCAAGATGCGCTCTTCCAACGATTGGCTATCGGCTCTTCCAACGATTGGCTATCGGTTTGCCCAAAAGAGGCGGCCGCACAGGCACGGATGTTGAAGCCCGCCATTTAGGTCCTAGTTGAGGCTACCATTGGACGGCAAGGGATATCAGCACAACCACCATTTCGGGGTCCCCTGACTTCGGCCCCACAGCCTAAGCCTTGGTTTGGGCCCAAGAGCATTTGAGAGACTGGGGGCCTCAGCACATAAGCCACTGTCCAAGCAAGGCCAGCCGAAAGCATGTGGGTAAATAAAGGGGTTCCACTGTTTTTTTGTTAAACGCTCACCTAGGCTGCACCTGGTTGTCAAATAGAAAAGGCTCTGATGGCTATGATTCTGTAAGCCTGTATTTGCCCATCAGGTGAAGTCCACAATCTACATGCTAATAACTACAAATTCTACAAATTCTACAAATATATATATATATATATACAATATATATTTGATGTGCTTAAATTACTGCGTCTCTAGCAAACCTCTATGGCTGGATGTTGGGTCTGGGGAAAAAGGACAACTGCT